AAAAAAAAAACTTCCAAGAAAAGAGAGGTTGTTGTCAACCATGGACAAACTTAAGTAACTCAAGTCTTTCCTTAGCCAAAAGTGTTCCTCAACTAGTTTTTAAACCAAAAAAAATTTTTATTACAAATTCCAAAACAAACAAAACATATAATATTAACACAGAAAATTTAAAAATTAGAAATTGAAATATAGATAGATATACAACCCCAACACATATGTTTTCATTAATAGGTATTTCACACAAAGAATTTCCAAAATTCAAGACATGAATAAATAATAAATAATATAAAAACAATACTAAATCATAAATATAAAAAGCTTAAAAAAAGTTAAACTCCCCCCTACCTAATTCCAGACTTAAAAACGTGGCGGAGCAGTGGCGTATCCACTATCACTATTTTAATTTTTTTTTGGGTTTTTTAAAACAAAAAAGGATTTAGAAATAGACTGTTTGAGACATGTTGCTGAAAATCACACAAATTTTCTACATTTAAGCTACCAAAATTTATTTAGCTTTCCACATTTTATTTTTACATAAACTTATTAATTAATTTTCCATTCACAAGAGAAATTTATTACTACTAAGTAATAAAATTGTTCTATTAAGGTAAATATTTTTCATGGGTATTACGTTATTCCATTTTTTATGTTTAAACCTACAAACATTAAAAGCGTTATTATTATCTCTTTGAGTTGTTTTTGAGTGAAGGGGGTTTGTTTTATTTGTTTGTATGAGGATTTTTGAATTTACGTTTTTCAATAAATTTAGTGTTCTAAACTTTTATTTATTTTAAAATTGATGATTTATTTTTTGAGGATTCTCAATGAATATATACATGTCTTCATTCAATTAATTTTATTCATCCTTCATACTATACCATGTTATTTAGATGTTAAAATTTTAAATTTGTAATAAATTTTAAATGTTTTAAATTTAATATTTGAATCTTTCATTTTAAAATTTAAAATATAGAAATAGTAAAAATTATAGGAAGTTGTTGATTTTAGTTTTTAAGAGT